TGTTGGACTATTATTTTTGTCTGTTACTATTTATTCATTAATTAAATTTTATTATTCCAATAAAATAGTATAGTAAAAAAATATATCACATTCTCAAAAATTAGGCCATCCCAGGTGGGATTCGAACCCTTTAGATTAAAAGTCCAATGCGTTATCCATTGCTTGCGCAACAGGGACACAACGAACTATTTTCCTTTCTATATATGGTGTTGGACTATTATGTTTGTTTCTTACTATTTATTCATTAATTAAATTTAATTAATGAATTTATATTTAGAAAAACTATATTAACATCAAGTGTCATGTACTACAAGTTTAAGAAATTGCATTTGAACTTAGATGGATGAATAAAAAGTATTTTATAGACAATTGAAAATTTGAACAAGATATATATATATATAGGGAGAGTATATATAGTATATATAGGGAGAGTGTGAACTAATAGAAGGAATTGAAAAACGTCTTCCTCAATATCTTTTCTTTGGCAGAAGAAAATCCTCGAAACTAAATGATAGTTGTCGTCCCCTCATGTCCCTTCCCCTGTATCTAAATCGGGCAGTGTTCATTTCACAAATACACAGCAGTCAGCCGGCGCCTGGGCGAATCATGACGTCAGAACTCTTTTTCCGATAAGGTCCGATAAACTTCGGACACAAAAAGAAAAGAATAATTCATGACGTCATCGTCCGTAGTCTTTTTATATCCACTAACGCTTTTATGGCGTAAGGCTGACATTGCTTCTCTTATTTATATACATATTACTATTTTTTTTTGTCCGGTCCTAACAACTCAGCACTGGGACCATTTGTATATTGCACTACTTTTTTTTGATGGATCTCCTGTCGAATCAACTTCAAAGGAACCTTGTAATTTTTGTAAGACAAATTGCCGAAATATGCCAAAAAAATAGGACAAGATCTAAAAGAAAAATCAGACTCAGTGCATTTGTTTTCCTGTCAAGGCGAATAATATGTTATATATTACGGAGTACATTCAGTGGCGTACACAAGGGGGGGAGAGTCCGGACCCCTCCCCAAAAGACCTCGATTTTTTTTCGATTGAATATAACCCCATGTATATAGTACGTAAAATTTAATTTAGTATTTTTATTAATAATAATTTTATTAATTAATGCTAATTATTCATTTAATGATTAATTTTTTAATGTTTTTTGTACCAAAAATTTGACAAAATCCAAAGAATATGTTGGACGGCGTATTGGAGCAAGATACGAAAATAGTGAATTTGAAAAATTCCCCCGCTTGAAAAATTCCTGTGCGCGCAACTGACTACATTATATCAAATAATGGTGGACTCTCAAAAGTGTATACATTTTTTCCCCAAGATATTTTCTTTAATTTGCGGTGGTTTTGAAAAAGATTGAAGAGTGAAGACATTAATTTGGAACTGATAACACATTTCACTTATTGCTTGAATCGTCACATATTACAAGGAATCGCTCAAAGCAGTTCGAAAATACTCATAGTCAAAAAATAGAATTTAAATTTAGAATGAACCAGCATTGACATACTTTTCTGGAACTTTATCTCTTGATATTATAACAGGATGAGGCAGTCTGGAGCCAGCATCGACAAAAGATCAAGTGCTTAATTGTATACCAACTGGAAAAAGATTAGTTACATCCTGAAACAGTATAGGTTTATCTGACTGGAGAAATCAGAAAATTAAGTATTAAAAGTGGATATTATTGAACTTAAAGTATATTTTAAACACAACATAAGAAGTCTGAAGGATTTCAGATTAGATAAACTCAGGCCATACCGAAAAAAAGCAGCGATGACCAGGATAAAGATATCACCTGAAGAGGAAATGCATGTTGAGATGAAAAGAAAACAGTATTTAAAAGGGAAAAAAAGAAAGAAATTGTATTTTTCATCTTGATGATTATTTTAGTTATGTATTCAAACCTCTCGAAATTCGGCGAGATAAAATTTGTAAACATCCGCAAAAGAAATTAAATATATATATATATATATATATATATATATATAACTAAATTAGAGATTTTTTTTTTTGTTTTGATTATTTTCCAATCTTCTTTTTTTTTTTTAACTAAGTCACATACTTTAAAAATAATTTATTAAAATGTTTTTTGAATTTTTTCAATAGTCCTTTCCCTCCTGATTTTTATTCAATATAAAACAAAACATCTTAGGATCTAGTGGTGTAACGTACACCCTCCCATGGGGAGGGGCAGGATTCTAGGAGGCCCAAAGCCTGACTGACGCCAAGTACGTATTTAACCAAATGATGAAATATTAAAGGCAAAACCAGACTTTGCAGGGAAGCCTATAAATATTCTCTGTTACGCTACTATTAGGATCTCATTTACGCTTGGCATCTCTTAACCAGTGGCGTGCACTGGGGGTAGCATTCCCCCCTTCGTACAACAACATATTTTTAATTTTCACCATAGAGATGACCCTGCCAAATGCCAGCTAAAATGCTGCTTTTGCTAAAATGCCAGCCCCCTTTCCTGGTAAAAGAGGTCTATGCACGCCACTGCTCTTAACTGATATTCATTCTTAAAAACCGTTTTGCTTTACATTCATTTACAATATTTGCTTCTTATATTCATTTTCTGAAAGCGTGCACACAGCATATCATGTTTTTTGTAAAGGTTGCTTTTCTTATATCATAATTAAGAAAAATTATTTTAACGATACTTTTTATTTTGCACAAATTTTTGCATGTTGTTTGAAATGAAATATATTCAATATTTTTTGATGAAAATGAGATTCTTTTGGTATGAATGGGAATAAAATAAATTATATTTGTGTGTAAACTGCAAATAATTCAATTTCAAAATGCCTCTATTGTCATAACGGAATTATTCAGCAAATATTTTGTAATGGGAGAAGCATTCGCCGGTGCTCATAGCTGCGTAGCAGTAGACTGTGAAGAAGAAATTTTGAAAACATTTAAGAAGTTCGTCACATTCATTCTTAATATGATGATGTTAAAATTAAAATGATAAAGGAGAAAAAGAGATTTATTCTATTGTTTGTTCTATTGAAATCTTATAATGTAAATTCTTTCGGACTTAAAGGAAATATTGTAACAATAATCTAATAAAAGAAAACTATTTAAAATGTGTAGCAAACTTCCGCTCGCGTTAATGTGAGGGTTCATACAGAATAAAAGCTTAAAAGAATCTAAACAAAATCAGCAAGCTTTTGCTTCTCAGTTACTATCAAATTTAGTTGTTGCTTATAGGGAGTGCGAATCAGTTTAGCCTATTATAAATATTTATCACTTAATGCAGATACTCCGCTTGATTCTTTGAACTCAAATTACGAGGTTTCTAATCCTTTTTTCAGTATATACACTAACAATACAAATATAAACTATAATTTATTCTAAAATCAACGCGTCCACCAAGAACTCAATTCACTTTGTAACGGGTTTTATTCGGGATTCTTACTTATCCTCCAGGGAAAATATCTTTATAACATTATATGATTATAAAACCGCTTTCTGTAAAGGAACCGTGATTTATGTTCATGAGAGTTTCTATTTGAAGTCAAGTGAAAAGGGAAGTTGGAGAGTGAGTGACTATTTACGATTGCACTATTCAGCTACTCGAGGGCTTTTGGTGACGGACCTCGTCATTTTGAACCAGGGAAGTTGGGCAGAGGTTGGAGATTGCTGTAAAACGGAGTTAGAGAAGTAGTAGTTGAAATTACTGGGGTTCAAGAGTTTGGATCCGACGGGTCATTTTAGAAAACCTAGTGTTGCGGAGGATCTGCTATTCACGATAAGTATTACATTTATTACTATAAATATTTACATTAGTAACTAACCTGACGGCTACCCTAGCTTAGGTCGAATTTGGATACGAATTTGACAGTCGTAATAAAAGTGTTTATTTTATAAAATGTCTCTTCACACTTCTCTCCTCATACTTCCGCGGGTGAGAATTCACGAAAACGTACTTTTAAATAGTAGTTCTATTTTGCATAAGTCACGGTTCCTTTACCGAAAGAGATTCTCAAATCAATCAATTTATTGGAAATTATTTATTATTTTCCCCCTGAGGATTAGCAGAAGGGAGAACCCGTTACAAATGTGATGAAACTAGAAATGATTTCATCCCTTTGAGGATAATATTCTTATAAAAATTAAAAGGAGAAATTGTCTGTTAAAGTTTTAATTAATAATCTAAGATTATAATTCATGAAAGCTTTTATATAAACCTGAATATAACATAATTAATTTTAAAAGCGTGAATACCAACTAACGTACAATGCACACAAGTGCCTAATTTCTACCAAGTAGAAATTATTAACAAGTGGCTACCACTCCGAACTGTCCGAAGCACATAAATCATTAGAACAAATGATCGCCCCCTTATCCCCAAAGTATGTCACATGGCCAGATAAATATTGAATGACCTTATATATAAACATCCGTAAATATATTTAGGCCTCTATATTTTTGTATTTATCTAAAGGGAGATACGCGAGATAACTGGAGATGACGGAAAAAACGGGGCGCAGCAGTCTCAATGGGGCAGCCTTTCGGCGCCACTGAAAGAAAAGAATCTTCCCTTTGTTTTGTTTATATTTTAATCTCGCCTTCTCCCACGCTTCTTTTTTTATTATTATTATTTATAGCTTTTTGTTGTGACGTCCTTTCCCATTGTTGTAGCTGGTTTAACATTTTCCCTTTCTCTCTCTCTCTCTCTCTCCTCCTCTTCTTCCTTTTTTTTTATTGTGGACATACTGAATCAAAATCCTCACACATAGAGCTCGTGAGTAAGAAGTATATTTAAAGTGGCTTTTCTACAGTGGTTTCGGATGAGATATTGCTTGAATTTCATGAATGAAACTCCGAACGTTTACGTTGTCGTAACCATTTTTTTTTCCTCCCTCCCTCTCTTTCTGTCCGTTACATAATTATTTCTTTATTCTTCTTGTGCTGTTTTTCTTTCTTTTTTTTAATATTCATTCAGTAATTTTTATTTCTTTTTTAAGAATGAAAGGAAGGGATTGTTCGTCAATGATGAAAGAGCATGATCGGTTTTGTGTTTGTTTTGAGAATATATTAGCATCTGATATTTATGTTTTATACTAAAAATGGATGACTAGAGATGAGAGAAATGTCATGCTAAATTTTATTCATAATTTTTTTTTTATGTTTTGAAAGAATTGTAA